TCCGATCGGCCGGCGTGGCTCACTCACCCTCCATGCCGTGAACAGGCGCCCTCAGGTATCCATCCTATATTCTTCACTCGCTCCTCTGCCAATAAAAGAAAGAAGACAGTCAGCCCAGGGAGGAAAAAAGAAGAAAACTGCCAACCACCCGCCAAACGAGGGATAGGGGAGGAGGACAGGGTCCCCACCCTGCACGAGCAGGATTTTGGAGAAGGACGATCAGGGGCACAGGTGGGGCTCTCCTGCTCCTGACAAGGGACACGACAGGCTCGCAGCGCGGGGCACGGTGGACTCCCAACTCCACTGGCGGTCTCATCTCAGTCTAGCGACCTGCCTCTCCAGCTCCTCTCACTGCACACTGGCAGTCTCTCGCAACCACAGGCACACTGACAGGGGTGGCAGGGGCGGCGGCAGGAGTCTCCCACATACTATGCGGGCCTCGCTAGAGGTGCGTCCTGTGTGTGTCCTCGCCCTTGTGGGGGAAGGGGAGAAGGGGCTGTGTGTCTGTGCATGCATGCATGCATGCACATTGTGAGATGTGTGTGTGTGTGTGTGTGTGTGTGTGTGTGTGTGTGTGTGTGTGTGTGTGTGTGTGTGCGTGCGTGCGTGCGTGTGCGTGCGTGCGTGTAAAGAAAGAAAGAAAGAAACAGACAAACCCAAACGAGGGATGGGGGAGGAGGACAGGGTCCACACCTGCACGAGCAGGATTTTGGAAGGACGATCAGGGGCACAGGTGGGGCTCTCCTGCTCCTGACAAGGGACACGACAGGCTCGCAGCGCGGGGCACGGTGGACAACACTACTGTGCTGCATGAATGCTTGCCCAGGTGTGAACAACACCTCGTGACCACGGCGCCGCAGGCGCCTGTTGATGGGTCCAGGTGATAGCCCTGGATGGGCAATGCATACGCCTAGTTGGGCCTTAGATCGCCCGACCGCGTCCCGGTGCTCTGTGGTCGGATTTGTGACGCCGCCGCACCGCGCCGCGGCCGGGGGCCCTCCTGAGGCCAAGGATGGCCGTGGCGTACCGGGATGAGCTCTGGGAGGTGGAGTGTCAGTGAGTATATTGTAGAGACAGACCGTGTGCACACTATCTCTCACTCTAGCTAAGCCAGGGGAGGCGATGCTGGGGCCGTACAGCAGCTTGATGGTGCTTCGCCGGCATGCGTCCCGGAGCGGTGCCGGACGGGCGGTCCGGGGGAGAAAACGGTCTCGGGAACCGTACCCATACTACTCAAAAGTACAATATACTACCACAAAGCACCACTAGCGATTTCGCGCGGAGGGCGTAGTGAAGCGCTGGGGCGCTCACTGTGTGTTATTCGGGTGGGGATCCATCAGTGGTAACCGGCTTTAGTCACAGATCCAAGCTCAGACGCCACACCAACACCACAAACACGCTCACTTCGCCGCTGCTGTAGAGGGCCCCCGGGGGCCCATACTACGTCGAAGTACGGACCCGATCTCGGCCCTCACGGGCTGCCACGCGCCCGCGCGCGGCGCGGGCCGCACCGCCCATGCCCCCGGGTCACCGACCCCGCCTCTCGGCCCTCTCGGCCCTCAGGAGCGTGCGGGAGACCGGCGAGGGGCGCGCCGCGCGCCGCCTGCAGAGCCGCCAGAGGCATTGTCGCCTCCGCTGGCGGGGTTCCCGCGCGCCCGCCCGCGCCCGGACCCGCGCCCGCTGCGCCCGCGGGCTCCGGATGCGCCGCCATCCTTCTCCTTCTTCTCGATGGCAGTCCGCGTGTGCTTGTCGACGGGTCGGCGGCGTGGTCGAGGGGAAGGTCGCCGGCGGCCGCAACTCCGCCGCCGTCGCTCCGCCGGCTCTGACCGAGTATCGGGCGTTGAGGGCGGCGGCGCAAGCGGGTCTGGCGCATCTATCGCCACGAGCCTCGCGACCGCGGTCGTGGCACACCTGGCGGCGGCTCTCGAGGCCGTCTCTACGGCGCTCGACGCCGTGTGAGGTCGCCGGCGGCCGCAACTCCGCCGCCGTCACTCCGCCGGCTCTGACCGAGTATCGGGCGTTGAGGGCGGCGGCGCAAGCGGGTCTGGCGCATCTATCGCCACGAGCCTCGCGACCGCGGTCGTGGCACACCTGGCGGCGGCTCTCGGGGCCGTCTCTACGGCGCTCGACGCCGTGTGAGGTCGCCGGCGGCCGCAACTCTGCCGCCGTCGCTCCGCCGGCTCAACCGAGTATCGGGCGTTGAGGGCGGCGGCGCAAAGCGGGTCTGGTGCGCCACACGGCCACCACCCTTGCCAGCGCCCTTGCCGCCGCCCTTGCCACCCTTTGCCGCCTTGCCTCCGCCGCGGGCGGCGGTGGGAGCGGCCTGCTGGGCTAGCATGTTGTCCTTGCTGGGGACGGGCATGTGGAACGCACGTTACATGTTTGAACGGCCTCCAGAATTCAAACAAAAAATAGCCAAGGCCTTCTCGCAACCCCTCCGACCCCCCGGGACCCGTGGGCGTCGAAGAGGCGCTCTCGGGGGGCCGTTCTGAGTTCATACTACCTCGAAGTACAATATACTGCGTCAAAGCACCGGCCCTGAGTCCGTCGTCATCATCTGTCTAGCGTCCACCCATACCGCGTTGGTGTCCAGTCCGAGCCTGGCTGTTCTTCACCTTTCTACCTACCTACCTACCTACCTAAAGGGGTAGGGGGTATGGTGCTGCCCGCCCAAGACTAGCCCTACCATACCCCCAAGCAGGTCTGCCAGCAGGCGGGGGGGTATGGTCTTGAGCTGGCATGCGCGACACTACCATACCATACCCCGGAAAAAGCTGGAACCCTACCTGGCCGGGTCGCAAGGAAAAAAATTAAGATTAGCCTCCTCCG